CTAATGGTGAGCTGAGAGGCTCCTACTCTTTCTTAGAATTGTTTCCTCCTTGTCTCTTCTAGAAGGGTGATCGATGTCCATACATGTCATTCACAGCACCTTAGAGAGGAAGTACCAAGTGACAATTTGTGTTTCTTGTGGAGACACAAAGGCTGAAAATACTCAACTTACGGAATCTTTCATATCATGAGGGCTGTGCACACAATTCTAGACCCTCCATAGCAGCACAGAAGAGGAAATGGCATGGCCACTCAAGTCACAGGGCTGACTTTGCCATTAACGATCAAACACCTGGCAAGTTTTTTAACCTCTTTAAGTGGGGCGGAACGTTTTACTCCACAGGGATTTGCCGTAGATTAAAGTTGGACCAAAATAGAAATCTAGATGCTAATTCATTTATCTTCTCCCCAACCACCCCAGTCCACCACGTTCACAGATTCTGGTAATATTATCCGGTTAATTTTTTTTTTTTTTCCACTATATGTGTGCTCTGGGTTAATGAGGAGAATGTCCCTGAGTGTTTTTTGCTTTCCACATACTGCACATAAAATTTCCAAAGTTCATAAAGTCTTCCAATAGTGTCTGTTAGTCCTCCCTTTAAAGTCAAGGGCAGGATATATATCATCCATCTCTGAATACCCAGTGTTTAACACAAAGCTTGGTATGTAACAGCACTCCCAAAACACTGACTGAATTATGAATAAGTGGGTGACTTGCCCAAGTCTTAAGGTCTTGGTTCCTCAAGATCCTCCCTTATCAGGGAAGACAAATTGTGGCAATATAATCTTGAAAGAATTATAACAGCAGTACCAACAAACTGTAGTGGAAAACACACAGAGCAGAGCAACCGATTTTGCCAGCAGCACATGGGATGGCTTGATGGAGAAGAATGGCTAATTAATAGTAGTAATAATAATGTTAACATGTGAGGGCTTACGGTGGAGTCCCTGGGTGTCAAAACAGTCGAGCGCTTGGCTATTAATCGAAAGGTTGGTGGTTTGAATCCACCTAGAAGTACCTTGGAAGAAAAGTCCTGGTGTTCTACTTCTGAAAGTTCACAGCCATTGAAAAACCTGTGGACTGCAGTTCTACTCTGCAATGCATGGGGTTGCCATGAAACAGAATTGATTTGGGGCAACTGGTTTGGTTTTTGGTTTACTATATGTCAAATAATACTCCAAGCACTTCATATGCAGGTGTGTGTACATGTACGTATAATATGCATATATTAATTCATTTTATCTTCCTAATAATTATATGAAATAAGTACTATTATCCCCATTTTACAGGTGAGGATAGTGAGGTACACAGATATTAAGCAGCTCACCTAGGTTATATGATAGAAAGATGTAGAGGTTGGATTTGAACCCACACTCTTATCATACAGGGGAAAAGGAGAGAAAGGCATTCCTGGGTATTTCTGTGGCATATCCAGTCCCACAGGTAAGGAGGAGCCTGGTTAAGCGTGATGATAAGGTGTGTAGTCCATGTGTAATAATGCAGACAGTGGGAGAACAAAGGAGGCTGATATGAAAGGAGTGACACACTGCATATGGAGGCACTGAGGAGGATCTGTCACTGAGAGGCAGCTTGACGAAGTGGGTAAGCTGAACCCCCAAGGCTCTTCCAAATGTGAGCTGGGTATCTTTGGGCAAGCTACTTAATCTCTTTGTGTCTCAGCTTTCTAATCATTAAAATGGAAATAATAACTATCTCAGAACTAAGACAGAATTGTGTTTTTATGCTTACAGCAGTACCTGGCACATAGTGCCATAAAAGTGGCTGTTACAACAAACAAATACTAAAGGTGAGAGACTATGGAAGGGCATTGTTACGTTAGATAAGAGATGATGATGAAGACCTAGTTTAGCAGTAGAGACAGAAAAGCAGACATCCAATTTAAGAGATTTCTCAGGGAGAAGCAACAGTAGCTAGTAACCATTTGGATTTTGACAGCAGCACAGAGATACTGTGTTTCAGTGAAGGTGGGGATGAGAGAAGAGGAAATGGGATTGACGGTGATGCCTTCAACTAAGACACAGTATCTTATAAGTACCACATGGAGCCCTGGTGGCACGGTGGTTAAGAGCTCAGATGCTCACCAAAAGGTCGGCACTCTGAATCCACCAGCCGCTCCCTGGAAATCTTATAGGGCAGTTCTATTGTGTCTTATAGGGTTGCTATGAGCCAGAATCAACTTGACAGTAATGGGTTTGGTTTTTTATCTAAATAGCACATAGGTTTGGAAGGGAAAAATATGCTTTGGGGACATAATGAGTTTTCCAAATATGACAGCTAAGTAAAGTTGTCTGGAAAACACTTATGAAACATGGGACTGTAGCTTGAGTGGGCCTACACAGCTCAAGATGATAGCATACTGATGGTAGTTCAAAGCCATGCCATTAATAGGCTCACCTGAAGGGAGACATGCAAGCAAGAAACAGAGCAAAACTTGAACAAGGGAACTCCAACTTTAAAGGCTGCCCAGAGAGTGACTCAGAAAGAAAGCTTACCACAAAACAATAAAATTAAAATTAATCCTAAATCTTTCCCACTACTACAGGAAACTAAAAATATTGAGTAAATTACTTTCTAAATAGAAAAAAAATGCACTTGCCTTTCCCTGGAAGTAAATAGACCCTGCAAGCACAGTATTATGTCTTGGAAATAAGCAATTTAAAAAAAAAAAAAAAAAAAACCTCTCCTTACAAAAATATTTAATTCTGTTCTTATTTCCCCATGCCATCTTCCATGCTCAGACTACTTTCTAGGCTGAGAAAGAAAGCCTTCATTTTGCCTACGGCAAATTTAGCACGTTTATGCAAAAGTCAAATTACCATGAAAGCCCAACAAAAAGGCAGATGAAGCAGAAGGCGCAGCTAATTAAATGGATTTGAGGTTCACTGCCCAATTTGTTTAGGGTCAAATAATAATTTATAAATCTGAGAAAACTAAATAGAAAAATAACTCATTGCAGGATCTGAGTGTCTAGATTACTACAAAGCCTGCAGACAAAATACCCTGGAAATCTTTTTTTTTAAGTCATCCAACTATGCCTAATTACATCCCAGGTATGAGAGGCAGTACAGAACAGGGATTAGCAGTGGGAGCTCTTGAGCCACAGAGCCTGGGCATAAGCCCCAGCTCTGCTACCCACGAGCTGAGTGAACTTGGGCAGTTTCCTCAGATAAAAAATAGGAAACAAACCTCATTAATAGGTTTGTTTTGAGGCTCACCAAAATTAATACCTCCAGGTACTTAATAACATGCAATAGGTGTTTGGTTACTTAAGTATCATAGTTCTTATTTTATATCTGAGTCCCTTTGAATACTGAAAACCTCATGAATTTATTACTTCACTATTGAGTCTGGAATAGAAGACACCCATTTCAAAATATAGTTTCTAAATAAAAAGCACAACTATATTTTCATACTGCAGTATTTCCCCACCACCGTCAATTCCGACTCATAGCAACCATACAGCACAGAGCAGAACTGCCTCCAAGGAGCAGCTGGTGGATTTGAACTGCCAACCTTTTGGTCAGCAGGCGAACTCTGTGCCACCAGGGCCCCGTCTACTGTAGTATTTAGGGGTTCCCCCCAAAAGCTTAATTTGTCCAAAACTTATCTCAGAACAACCTTAGACCTTATTATCTTTATTAGGCAACACTTAATCACTGTTTAAAAAAATGATGAAAGGAGACCTCTGTAAAGGAGAAATGCTTACTCAGCTGTACCAAGAGAAGATAGAATGACAGACCATTGTCTGAGAAATTGCTGCCTGGACAGAGTTATACATACTGTCTGTAGACACGTTAACTTTTCCTCCTGTGCAAAATGTATTGGGCTTTTGCTCATAACTTTAGGAGCAGTGCACTCTTCCCTCAGCCTAGAATGCCTGGTTCCTTTTGCCAAGGTAACTCTTATTAGTCACCGAGACCTAGCATCTTCTCAGGCTTTTTCTGGCACTGTCTCTTTGTTAGATAAAGAGAAGGAACTCCTTATACCATCCAGTGTCTTCTATCATAATCCTTACTGAATTAGTAATTTACTTAGTTGTAACCATATCCCATACCCCTACATGGATACATATGGGAACACTAGACCGCCAACAAACTGGACATGGGGACTGTCTTGCTCTTTGTATTCCACAGGGCATGGTGCTGTATCAATGTAATAAACCCACACAGCGACACTCTGACCAATGGCAAAACTCACCAAACATATAAATTTCTTTCACCTACTACTTCTAGGCATAAAGTTTCCTTCTTTCTTTCCTCTAATACATTTACAAATTAGTGTATGTGTTCCGCATACAATCAGCCATAAACAAAGCAGAAGAAATATCATTATCAAATAAAGTATGACTTTAGATAAGACAGGTGCCTGAGTGGTGCAAACATTTTGTGCTCAGCTACTAACTGAAAGGTCTGGGGTTAGAGTCCACCCAGCAGAACTGTGGAAGAACAGCCTTGTGATCTGCTTCTGTAAGATTGCAACCACTGAAAACCCTATGGAGCGCAGTTCTCCTCTGAAACATGCAGGGTTGCCATGAGTCAGAATCAACTGGAAGGCAGTTTTTTTTTTTTTTTAAATAAGATAAAGCAGTGTTGGCATTAAAGAGATTTGTTGTATTATCTTCTGAATTTCAGAAACCAGTCAAATATCACCAAAAGCTTTCATAAAGATTTTTCTGTTACAGTATAATTAACTTTGCCAAATTGGTGGGCATTATTGTTTCAAGAAGGTTCAAAGCAATCACATAAGGCAAGGACAGTACAATTTTTGCTTACTATCACTACAAAGTTCTCCTTCTCCTCTTTCTACCTTCCTATGATTTAATGTGTATCTTTTTATTCCTTTCTTCCTAAAGCCTCCATAGGAAAGGGCAGCCAGGCTTAGAATCCCTTTATACTCACCACACCCTACTCCCCCATAAAAGGTATATTATACACTTTACTTGATCTGTCACAAAGCACGAAGAGATAAATTATACTAACCTTGTCGTACTCCAAGCATCTCCAAGTTCTCTGGAATACTGTTTTTCAAAATGATCCAACACAACTTTGCAAATTTGTTTTGCAAGCTTCCCCTCTGAGTTTGCTTTCAGCTATGATAATAAGAAAAAGTTGCTGACACATTGCTATTATTACAAATTTATTGAATATCAACATAAGCATGTTTTTTTTTTTTAAAGACAAGAGCATTCCGTTCCATACTTAATAGTTCTTGCAAAGGGAGCAAAACGTGTCAAGTAACAAAATTGTATTATCATACTCTATAGACTTAGGAAAAATGAGGTTTTCTCCCTATGATCATCGCCCAAATGTAAAGCAAAAGTTAAAGGAGAATCTACTAGTGTTAAGGAAGCTGTGTCGAAAACTAAACTACTTTTTAAAAGCCTCTCTAGATGTTAACATTAGGGAGAACTGAGTATAGGTCATACAGTTACTCTGTTCTATCTTGGTAACTTTTCTATGCATCTAAAATTATTCCAGAATAAGGTTTATTTAAAAAAAAAAAAAAAAGCCATTCTAGTTTCGTCCGAAAATCTTCTTGCAAACCAGCTTTACGTATTCAATCAAGAAAACTTTGAGGGCCTATTACGTAACAAATACTGTTCTAAGCTACAGGGATGCAGCACGGACGGAGAACTCCCGGCCCTCATGGAGTTTATAACGTGTGTGAAAGTGAAGGAAGTAGGTAAGTCTGAGTGCTGGACTGTGGAGAGAGGTTATCAGTGGGGGAGGTGATTCAGCGAATATTAGAGGGAACGCTTGTGAGCACGCGTCAGCGGACTCAACCTTATTCTAGGGCTCAGTGCTGTAAAGTCAAAGAAACCCGGAGATTGCGAAGCGGCGGCCAAGGGTGAATCCCCCATCTCTCGCCCCTCCCGCGCCCCCTCGGCCGCGCAGAGAAGGCTCTGGTACAGTCAGAGGCGCCGGCCTGCACCCAGCCCTCACCCGGGTCAGCATCATCCCGCCAGGAGCTACCAGACAGACAAGGAATCTACAGCACCCAACATCTCACGCTCGTCCCGGAAGCAAAAAGTACACTCTAACTTCCGGAATTCGCCGGAATTCATTCCTAAACCGGTCCTTTTCCGGCTCAACTTCTCGCGTGAAACTGTCTTGCTGTGTTACCGAAATCTCACCAAAGAGGCCTAGATCCCGCGAGAGGCTGACGCGAGTTCCTTCCGCAGGTGGTTGGTGGAGGCGAGTGTATCCGCTGGAGAGGTCAGCGACCGTTCCCGGAGGCGTGGCCGGGACCGCGGGCGGAGCCTTGGGCAGCCTGGCCCTAGAAGATCGCTTCTAAACTGTGGTTGATGACTATGTGGGTGGGGCTCAATAAAAGAGTGAAATCTTTGTCATTATTAGGCTTTGTTGTGTGATCCTCATTTTAAAATGTTCCTAGGAAAAGCCAAGCTAAGCTAGTTACTGAATTTTATCTACCAAATCCGTCGACTCCATTGTTAGTCCAGATACTAAGAACTCAGAAGAATGAAGGAGACGGTGAAAAAGAAATTAGACACGTGTTGTCCTGTCCTGGCGTGCCACGTGTGGACATATATATATATATATATATATA